GTGATGCTGGAAATTACATCTTTATTATTAATTTCGTTTTGTGGTTTATTCACGTTGCAGACAGCCAATTAAACTYGTCAGGATGTGAACAAACAGGCGGTGTGAGGAGTCGGGAGAGGACGGTGAACTCAGGAGGGAAGCTGGATGAGAGACACGAACACCACTGAGGGGGAGGTGGCTGTACGTCTTGTTACACTGGAGAGGGTGACTCAAGCTCTTAAAATARTTCAACAATATTGCTGATTTGCAGTCTGGGTGACACCAAACCTCTTTCAAGACTTTAAATATTAACTATGTACCATTTGAATGTGGCCACAGGTAAAACACAGGATAAAAACATGGTTCTGTGTAACTTGAGAAAAAAAAAAMAMCACTGTTTTATGTTAAACAGAACTGGGTGATCTTTTACCACAACACAAAGGACAGAGGGACAAATGCCACCTACGGCTGTGAAACCCCAAAGAACATCACTGTTGGAGTATTCCAACAGCCTGGCATTTGTAGAGGGCAAAGCACACAAACCCACAAGCTCATTGAAATAATTCAGCTTTTCTACACAGTATCTTAATTTAATCTACACCTGCATGCATCCATGCCCACATCTAAACCTCAGGCAATCCCCCCCTTCACTGTATCTTAATTTGATCTACACTCAGTCTGGACGTATTTCTGTGCCTGTGCACACCATAAACACACGCAGAAAGAAAGAAATGTGCTGCGAACCTGAACAATATCTAGCAGGCTCGTCGTTCATTACTGCTGCTCCCCACCTCCCCATGCATCAGACGTTTTCCTGATTAAAGTATGAATCCAAGTGAGCACTACAGAAAAAATCTTTCCTGATGACTGATCGCTTCAGCGCACCGTAGACGTCATCCCTTTGTTTTTTTCCCCTTCAAAACAGTTATTATTCTGCACTGATGCATCTGTTACTTCATCAATGCAGCCATTATTTGAAGGTTTTATTGGCAGTGTATGTACTTTGCAAAGGTTTACACGGCATGTGTGTACTTATATTTTTTATGAAGGCTGATCATTGTCCGGCACTGCATTTTATCTGGGACAAGAAATCAATTAGATACTTTGTCAAATGTGAAAAAGGCAATTATTTTACTATAAAAGGCAACGACTGGCTCTTYTCTAGCTTCTTTTTCCTTCTTTAGATATTTACTGTGGAGGGATTAGTGCACTAGTGCTGGGTAATGTGAACAACCCAATTCTTTGGGTCACAATTTGATTTAATTTTAATTTGATATTGCTTTAAATGTGTCAATATCAATTTCATAATAAGAAGTACAGTAAAAAAGTTTTGTATCAGGGTTTAGTTGACTGGTGCATGCAGCCTGAGTCATTCAGTTAAGCTTTATTAAATAACATAAAACAATAGGCCCCATAATGATCTTTGCTCAACCTTCCTCCTTCATGACCGTACCAAAATGTGTGACTACTGTCAACAACCAGGCAAAGAAAAGACATGTAGAGGAGGGGAACAGAGACACAGACAGAGGTACAGTAAAAGAAAAAAGTCAATAAATAGTTTCTGTGTCGAAGAAAGAGTAACTTCAGATGACCAGTAAGCAGTGTTTGTTTATTTTATTACCAGATGAGCTGTGATGAAAAGAAAAATACGGTCAAATACTGCAATACCGGTATAATTTTTGAAAATACCGTGATGCAAAATTTGGGTCATAACGCCAAGCACTAGTATATATTGACATTTGAGAAATAAAATATTTGTGAATAAAGCAGTAGCACAATAATACGTGTTCTAAATATAGAGCGCAAACATAAAAACGTCAAACTGGCCGAGTGGTCTAAATGAATCAGAGGATTTTCTGAAACGATATTGAAGTGGAAAAAAATATATTGTAACACTCTGATGAATTAAAAGGAAAAAAATTGTATAGGTCCTCTGGACGGGTTCTTCTTTAATGAAACAACTCCCATCACCCACTGGAACACAAGTTAGGAGTGATCAGGACTCTGTACCACAGAGCAGACAGTGTCCCTACAAACCCAGGAGCCAGGCAGAAAGAGAAATCACACACACGACAGGCCCTGGAGCAGTGTGGTTATCCTGACTGGGCTTTCCTGAAAGCAGACAGGAAACACAGACAGGATTCCATGCAACCTTCAGGTGAAAATGAAGACCCCAAACCCAGACCCAAACCAGTGGTTATTCCGTATGTTGCGGGTGTTTCGGAGAAACTGAGACGTTTATTTTCTAAATATGATGTCCCAGTAGCTTTCAAACCCCAAAACACATTACGGCAAAGGCTGGTTCACCCCAAAGATCCGGTGCCCCGGCACAAACAGAGCAATGTTGTATATGCTGTTAAGTGCCAGTAGGACTGTGACCAGTTATACATCAGGGAAACAAAGCAGCCACTGTTCAAAAGAATGTCCCAACACAGACGAGCTACATCTAATGGCCAGAACTCTGCAGTTTTCACTCATTTACAGGCCAGCGGTCACTCTTTCAGAGATGAGGATGTTCTCATTCTTGATAGAGAGGAACGTTGGTTTGAGAGAGGAGTAAAAGAAGCCATTTTTGTGAAGAAAGACCGTCCATCATTAAACAGAGGTGGGGGCCTCCGTTTTCAGCTGTCCCCCTCCTACAGCGCTGCCATTGGCAGTATCACTCCACCCCTGTTAACAATAGGTATTAATTAGGTGTCAACGATAGCCATGTGATGTGAGTATCAGTCACATGGAGGCAGTGCTTAAAAGCCTGAATTTTGTCTGAAACTCTCAGACTGAAGAAGTCTCTTGGAGAAGAGACGAAACGTTTCATTAGAGTAGAACCCGTCCAGAGGACCTATACAATTTTTTTCCTTTTGATTTTTTACCTGGATTACTGAGATGCATCAGGACACTCTGATGAATTGATATTTTTACCAATTTCTATGGTGTCATGGGAAAAGAAAGCTTGCCTTGTTTCAGTTAGAACGTAATGAAAAATGATCTCATCTTTATCATGTTAAATTATTCAAATCTTAGTCCAAGTGTATAAAGCAGACAGATACCTAAAAGCACAGAAATCTTTTACATTTAATAAAAACAGGAATATGTTGCTGAATAAATGACGGCTCAAGTGAAAAAATGCTTAGTTTGCTGCATGAAAAATGTGATTTACCACCTGAGTTAAAAATTAAAATTAATTCAATAAGAAAAAAAAGTAAAGTTAAAACCTAGAAGGCAAAAGGATGAGTAACTTTATTTTTAAAAATGATGCTGGCAGACTTTTAAGAAATAAAAAAAACAACCTATGACAGGACAAATTGTTCCAATGTGTGTGTAGAAGTGTATGAATGTGTTCAGGTTTGCCAGGACCCCTTCATAACTCTTACTGCATTACGATATTAAAACCATCTTCCATTCTGCTTACAAGCGAGAAAAGAGACAGCTTAGCGGAAATGGTCCTCCTACGCTGCTGTTAATACACTGAGTCAGCAAAATTTATTTAAGAGGTGGATTTTTCTGGCCGTTAAGGCGAACGGATCTTTACTCTGGTTTTACCGACTCATCTGCATTTGACTGCCAATAAAAAGAAACAGATGTGTGCAAGGATCTTACATAAACATAAATAATAAAAGAAAAAATTTTTAAAAATATGACAAGAGCAACATTTAACGTCTGTATTTGATTTGTGAGCGCTGTCTAAAAATGACAAGACTGCATGTACTCACAGCTGGCACTGGTCTCCTTTGATCCCCTTGGTGGTGCAGAAGCACTTCCCCGTTAACACCTGGCATACGTTTGCGTGACCATTACACTTACAGGCTGGACCGGGCGACAAGAACAAATGGAGGAAAGAATAAGAGTGTTAAAATGGAGAACACACACAAAGTAAAATACACTTTTTATAGGAACATAATACAACTGATTCATACTAGTCAGTAACACCTAACAAATATTGGAGTTAAAGACCACCGGATGGAACTAAAGGTCCTACAATCCCAACAGTTTGTGCAGAAACAATTGTTCTTTTGATTTAAAGCACTCGACAGACAGTTTCCCACTGGTTGCAGTGTTTGTGTAACGCTAAGCCGCAGATTCTTTCTGTTGCACCAAACACAAGAGACAGAAAATTGATATTGATCTGAGTAAGGTGGTAAACAACTGCATTTCGTAAAAGATTKGGCTGAACTTCAAAGATCAGACAGATGAGGGAGACCCCCCCCGTGCAAACTCCCAACAGGAGGCTACACCACCCGCCAGGTATAAACGTGTGTGTATGTGTGTGTGAAACGTAGAAATGGTGGGTGAAAAATGAGTGAACAGGTTACTGAAGCACTGCTACTTCAACGGGCTTTTAGGTTTGCATTTGCAGGAAGATAAGAGAGCCCTTTCCTTTTGGTTCAGCGAGCTCTAAAACGTGGAGAACGTGTGTTACTGATGGGTCAGTGGGCCGTCCACAACCAGCCTCCTCTGCAGAATCGAGCATGGTACGTATGAATATTTAAGAAAGTTTTAAAACAAAGTGCTTTACATAGCTGCAAACACACTTTTTATGACAAGGTCGTTTTTGTCCCAAAATTTAGTTTAGACAATACTTGAGCATCACTAAAAAAAAAATTTCCCCTCTGTTTAGGTAGAAATTAATACAATAAATATATTTCTAAAAGCATCACTTTAACATTTCATATAAAGAGACCAAAACTAACCACAAAGAAATCTGTAAAATGATAGAAAACCTGAGGTGGGCTTGTTAAATTCTATATTTGGGAGTCCTACAAATAAATCTTTATCTCTGTATTTGTAGGTTTAGTTGATTGTAGGTGTACTTTAATTGCTTTTTACTTTTAGCAATGATGAACTTTACAAGTGAAGAACATTGGAAACACAATGCTTCAGCTTCACTTGCAGTTCCAACATTTTACCATATTTTTTTTTCTCCACAAACTTCACTCATGTCAAACAAAGTTAAATCTAAGTCCATATCTTTCTTGTAATGCAACCAAACCAGACTTGTGATCATTTTGCTTATTTTGCTTCCATCAGATTATGTAAATAACACTTAAAGCAGGAAGGAGAGACAAAATGTCATAGGTCTGGTTTAAACCAGTGCACTCTACTGCCCTCTGTTGGTTAAGCTGCAACATGACAGTATATTGTGTTCATGACGTTATATACAGGCCTTTAAATATATCACGGTCCTGGAAACTGTTCGTCAAAAGTGCAATAAATAAATAAATAAATAAATAAATAAATAAATAAATAAATAAATATTGAAAAGAGAAGGTGATCAACAGAGAGGTTTTTTTTACTCAAAACAACTGATCTTCAGAACAGGTACAGATGATGGGCAAGGTTCTGGAGGTCAGGACCAGGGCACAGAACGGCGCATCGTTAAAGCGATGGCACTACTCACCCTGGCATTTGCCACCATTGGTTGGGTCTCCGTGGTACCCAGGCATGCAGGTCTCGCAGTGTGGACCGGTGGTGAGGTTACGGCACTGCTCACACACGCTGCTGTTCACACACGTGCTGTGGCCATTACACTGGCAAGCTGAAAAGGAAAGGGGGGAGGAAAAAAGACAATTGTGATTCTCAAAGCTTTGCATCACACCAGTCTGAATGTCATGCAGCATTCAGTGAATCGTTTTACAGCTACAGTTATTGTTATTACTTCCCAGAAAAAAAAAAGAACCCATTAGAGCTGTCAGCAGCGTGTGTCTGCTATGTCATATTAATTATTGTTTAATCAGTTCTGCCTTTTAGAAGTATTTTTATGGCAACAACTTTTAATTAGCTTGAATTAAATCTCCAACTGGGAAAACTTTGGTAATTTTGCCTGGCTTGTTTTATTTATTTTTTTTAGCCAAATTAGTCGAAGTGCTCTTTTAAAAGTTAGTTTTAAAAATGAACCGCAACACCAATCACTGCTTTTTTACTTTAATATGATGAATAATTTTACACATTTAACCAGGAAATGTTCAAAAATTTAATAAAATCTGAAAAAGTAGATTAATAATCATCTGTACCAATTAGCCACTGAGAACCCTTCAGATCACAAAGGGGCAAACTATAACTTGTGGGCCAAAAGCAACCCTTGGGCAACCTCCATGTGGTCCTCGATGGCCCCAAGTTATTCAATAGGGCTGCACCTAATGGCTATTCTGATAGTTGACAAATCTGCTGGTTCTTTTATCACTTAGTCACGATTTTTTCTGTCACAACATCCATCTAAGCTTCCTGTGGGTGCACAGAACACACCTCATCTCACCTGCTCGCCCCTGTGAATGTCACCCTGTTATCCAGTCTCTTTAACTCAACATAACAAGTTCCCATTAATTAAATAATACAAATTAGCTGCAAGTAGTCTTTTAAAAAAACAGCTATTGTGCAAATATCCCAAAATAGCAGCCTCTCCTCCGTGAGGGGCTGTTACTGCCCTGCTGCGTAGCTTTGCAAGTCCAAAATAAACTGAAGAATATCATTGATTAAGGTGATATTGAAGTGCATAAAAGTAAAAAATAGTTCATCCTGATTGAAATTTTGCTTGATCTGGCAGTCCAAAGGTTCAAATAAGACTTCAACCCAATCAAAAATACATAAAATGGATGTGCTTAAATGTAATTTCATTCTGCTCAAGTACATTGACAATAAAGGCATCATCAAATCAAAAGACGAGACAGGATAGACTACTCTTATAATTCATTATTTTAATATGACAATTAGCTAATGTTAGCATAACTGATAGCACCCGCTAACCAAGAACCATTGTTTTCTGTTAGATAAACTAACAAAAATTAAAGACAGCTGGCTTTAGCACAAAGTGGTCAGTTACTGAAAAACAGATCTATAAAGGCATCAACCTGATGCACAAGCTAACGTTCTGAAATTTACCCATCTGGAGAGGACATGACCATGGCTCCAGAGAGTCTGTGTTTCAGGTGGTCGTGTTTTCATTGCTGCTGTGCTGCCATGGAGTGACATCTCTGCTTCACAGGGTCTGCACTTTACTTTGCTTTATTTTCAGTAAAATGTAGCCAACTTTTGAAAGTTTAGGTCTTATTTTATTTTTTGCCACTTTATTGTCCTCTTTCCATTCCGCCATCATGCCGCCCATTGATATTATTAGCCTGCACCACCTTCTTCTGTGGTTTGCAGGCTGGCTTGTTATTCATTAGTGAACAATGCAACCACAGACAACAGAAGCAATTCTGCCCCTAGCAGTTCATGTATTGCATTGCAGCTACAAATAAACATTTATGTGGTAAGATAATATGCCGTGTCAACATTAAAATTCAGCGTCAACTAATTTTTATAATCAACGTAATCGATTATGTCGACTAACTGTTGTAGCACTATTTAAAAAACTGACTGAAAAAAAAGGATTTAAATGGACTGGATGTCGAAATTCAAGATTTTGGATGAAAATAAGTCTCAGGTTTTAGCTAACTTTTTAAGCCATGACAGTGTTGCAGTGTTGAACATTTTTGACCAAGCGTGCAAACAAACTATGCAGCAAAATGCAATCAGGAAAACATAAAGGAAAGGTCTTTCAAAACATATGAGCGGAGTAATACATTTTCCTAATTAATGTGTGGCTCCTTGATTGTTTTAGTAAAGTCATTATGAAACAAAATATTGCTCATTCATATTTCAGATCCTTAAATTGCACCTATATCTGTATTATCACATTACAAAGCGGTTGTATGAACTGGAACTTAATGAATGTGTGTGGTTGCATGAAATCATCAGGGAGGGATTAGTTGCATTGCAGAGCTGAAACAGGAATCCAGGAAATGAACGTCTTTACAAGCCAAATAAAAAAAACAAAACAAAGATCAATACCCAATAAGAACCTCTCACACAGATGTACATGTGACACATAATCTGTCATTTCAGTAAGACGGTCAGGATGTAATTTACTCACCAGGGCAGTGAATGAAGGCCCACTCGAAGCCCTTGTCTTTAGGGCAGCTGCCTGGCTCCAGGCTCATATCATAGGAAAGACTCTGCTGGCCCTGCTTCGACAGTCTTTTCATGGGTCCCCGGTAGGAGCCCTCCATGCACAGCCCTTTTCCTGTGCTGCTCGGATCTCCGCACCAGCCACACTCGGGCTGCTCCAAGCACTGAGAACACGTCCGCAGTCCTGAACAGTTTTGCGCTGGAAGAGAGGAAAACGCTGTCAAACGCTGATCACAACAACCAATTTGTATTTCATTAGTCACAATTATTTTTATTTCTCCTCAATAGTGTCTTTCACACTGATAGATGTCCACACAAATTCAGCACTGGGAGCAGCAATCGTTCACTCGTGTTGCAAACAAAGAACTGCATTTTGGATTCTCGTAATCCTTATAGGAGCTGTAGATTAAGAAGGCTTAATGTGCTTTACACTAAAACACAATCTGCTTATCTAGCTTGGCATCAAGACAGCAGATTTTAAAAACAGATAAGTGGATTATAAACAAGTGTCTAGCATTTATTGATCGATAGATTCAGGAGAGGTTCATAGACTGCGGGATTAGGAAAAAAGTTGAGCAAAGTTCCAGAGGAGGATTAAAGGTGCTGTGTGCTTTGGCACTTCATCCTAACTTTAAGAACCCGAGCACAAATGTTGTTTTGTCAGCTGACGGACTTTAAGGCCATTAAATTGCTTGACACGTTTCAGAGAGACAGACACTTCGGTGGACAAATGCCACCACTATTTTAAGGAGACAAACACTGAGTGCTTTTACCTCAGTTTATGTCAAACAAATCTACAGCTATTCTACTAATGGATGTGAAACCATGACAACACAAGAGCAATCAGCACAAAGTGAGGCCACTTAAGTTTGCTTCGACGACAAGCCATGAGTGGAGGATTTCTGCTCTTCTGAAAATGGAAGCAGCTGGACGAGGACTTCTTGCTTTGCCACCACATGAAAGCATGTTGGAATACAAAGCCCACATTGCTCACGCAGACTTTCACTACATAAAGCTGCCGGCTGAAGGTGTTAAAGAAACTGGATGGTGATTAAGATCGTGTCTGTTGTAAAAAACAATGGGTCGCATGCAAGAACATGCTCGTATTCTTATCCTAAATTTCTCTTAGTTTTGATCGAACAAAGGGTTCGTACGAGCATGCCACGTCAGATTCAACAAACTCTTCTATCTTCTGGAAAAGTGTGTAAATGAGGAGCGTAAACATGATGAATGCGTATCAAATGTTCGCGCACGAGGAAAGGAGATTAGCATAATTACCACCCCAAAAACACCATATAAGGCTATGTTTCCTGCCTCAGATATCAGGAAGTGTCCATTCATGAAAATGACAGCATAAATTAAAAAGAAGAACTTTACGAGTTCAGAGATTGAAGTCCGTCTGTCAGAGATCCAGAAAAGAAAATCTATCATTTTTAGCGGCGTCAGCTGTGGAATAAAAGGAGCTGCTAAAAGTATAAACAACTGTGTTAAATCATTTTAATTTATTCAGAAGCCACACTGTCGCGCACAGGAGGGGACCTTGTCTGCTCAGAGRTTGTGAAAATGTCATTTTATTGTTTTTTGTATAAAAATCACCACAACAAGTCTATTTAAATAACTAGAAAAGTTCCTGGAGAAACTATGAATGGGCTTGCCCTGTGCCACCCAATTTAAATTAAGATTTGAATTCATTGTTTGTTGGAAATCAATGTGATCTAATACCATTGCAGATTTAAGCTTTAAATGTTTAAAAATGGCTAAGTTATGTTCAATTTTCCATTTTAGCTATGGTGCCTATCTTGGATTTTTGATTTGGCTTCAGTATGTGATGGAAATTGTTCTTAGCTACCACTACACCAAATTTTAGCCCAAAATGTTTTAAAAAGCCTGAGTTATTGCAGTTTTAAATTAGCTCTGGCGGCCATTTTGGATTTTTAATTAGCATTCAGAATTTGTCCGCTTGTTCTTGGCTACTATGCTAGTTTTCAATCCTGTAAATATTAAAATAGCTGAATTAGAGCCTTTTTTTTAAATAGCATTAGCAGGTAGCTTAGCAATGCATTCTTCTGCTCTCTTACTCATTTGATATAGCAAGCCCTAATTAAAATCTGCATAACTCCGTTCTTTTGTTTTTTTCACAAATCAAAGTTTGTAACTATTCGCTTTAATATTTTGAGAAAGACAAAAACAGAAGGTTGAACTTGTCTTTGGGAGATGTGAGGAGTAGCGAGGTATTGGTGGGGGTTGGGGCTCAGCCTGGCTAGGAAGTAAGAAAGAGGGGGCTTGGAGCAAATTAAGTTGGGAACCACTGCTCTACTTCATAACTGAAAAGCATTTTTTAGAAGTTAAATTAAAATAATTAGGGGTGCACCGATTGCAGTTCGCAGTTTTCTGTCYGATTWTGATCTTTAAAAAGTCTGCCRAGTTTGATTTGGYCGATMCAGATTTTTTTAAATATCTGACACTGTAATATGAAGGTCTTGTAACTATTGTAAAACATTGAAAATACCTTTGAAAMAACAMAAACTTGTTTGAACTGGACATTAGGTGCTGGTCACAGCAGAGCAAAAGGGGACAGTGGMTGATTTTAATACCTTTGTGGAGGTTGATGAGAAGCTGATCTTATCCAAGTATCGGCCGATCTCCTAAAATTAATGAAATCAGTGCCGATTAAATCGGGCAGACCATTTATCTGTGCACCCCTAAAAATAATGGTCCATGATTATTCAATAGCTTTTATTAGACCCCATCATCTTCCATTTATATAGATTCTTGTTGCTTTGAATTTATCATTAACTGACTCCAAAATAAGGTCGTGGTACAACATTTAAACATCATGGCTCAAAACACCCTTAAAGCCAAATTWTTAATCCTTAAAAACCTTGAGTTTTTCTCAATTCTGCTTGAAAACTGACTGAATTCAAGGCAGAAATAAAATCCTTGTGTTAAAGTGGAGCGTTACATCAGGTTTTCATGTTTGAAATCCTGTCTGTGCTGAACACAGCTTCAGGCCAGTTTGTTTTTCTGACCCATCATGACGAAGCAGAAAGTGTGTTCATCAAAAGTCTGGTTTCTGAGAGAAGGTCATTACAAAGAAAGTGAAAAAAAAAAGATTTATATGTCTTAAAACAGAAAGTTTGACCCTGAAGCATTTGTTCCCATTTAACAAATGATAACTTGTTAAAGCCCAAGTTTACAAACTGAGCCTTTTGTCAAGTGAGAACTAATAAAAAAATAACTTGAGGCACGCTAACTGGCAGTATAAATAGACATTTATTGCCACTTAAATTAAGGAAGAAATAAAGCGCAATAATTCAAGACTTGGGATTGTTCATTTTGTTTTCCCACACAGACAATGAGAAAAAAAATATGAAGAGAATTTTCTGAACGACCTTCCCCGCCCTTCACACAGAGAGAGACTAATTCCTCAAGACAAATATCCGCGGTGAGCAGAATCTCTGCGAGGGCCAACACCCGCAGACACAAATGAATCGGAGACAGCACTCTTGGGCTCCCTAAATTTGTTACTCGCTAAACTGATCAGAGATGTCTTCTCAATGTGACACAACTGTGGGAATGATTCATACATCAGGCCGCAGCACCGAGCCGAACGACTCCAACGACCTTCAGGCGAAGGAGCTCCCCAATCGACTTACTGCAAGGTTTGGAAAAAAAACATTGTTTCTCCTCAGAATGTGTCCACTATGATGCCGATCAATGCCTTTATATTTACTGTGTTCTTCTTCAATGTGTGCTCTGTGTAGTCTTCACATAAAACTAGAATGTTCTACAAAATTAGTAATTTTAAGCACCACGATGTAAAACGAAGAGCTGGGAATTGAGAACTGCTTTCATACTGTCCAATCAATAGGAAGCATATGGCTCAGAGCTCATCAGTTCCTTTAACAGATGCTGGGTCAAAGTTTTCTGCTTACAGGGATAATGAGGGGAAAAAAACATTACAAAATAATGGTGTCAAACTAAGGACTTGTCCACATGCTAATATGTTACAACTTTTTAAATAGCCCATCTATTAGGTGACACCTTGAAGAAGTCACTGACAACAAGGATAGAAGCTCAAACAAACCTTATTTTAGGCTTCCTGAATCTTTGATACTTCTGACAATTAAGTGCCTGATTAATATTGAGGTTAAGTTCACAGAAAAGTTTTAATTTCCTAATGAGTAATAATGTTTTTAAAAACAACACAGGTAATGACACAAAAAAACTGACAAAGAATAAATTAAAACCTAGCATTTCTTGAATGAACACATACATCCCATCACCTTTCATGCCAGAGTTTTAGACAAGATAGATCGCATGCTGAGAAAAGTTGTACATTTTTGCCAAATTTTAAATAACATTGCACGCATTATCGCGAGACGATACAAACTGTAGCTCAATATTATTGTAGAGGTATCTGATTAGTTCCTGAAAGTACATTTAGTGGTTTGTGAGCTATTAATGGCCAGGTTAGCGCTCAGAACACACGTTGTGGATCAGTCTCAGCTGCTTCCACACCAAATGAGGCCAATATTTGTAAAATTGAGTCAAGTTTTTGAAATGTCAGTTAGCTGGGGTTGTCCAAAAGTTATTTAAATGTAGATGTACAGTATCCTGATGCATCTCAGTAATCCAGGTAAAAAATCAAAAAGAAAAAAATTGTATAGGTCTTCTGGACGGGTTCTTCTCTAATGAAACGTTTCATCTCTTCTCCAAGAGACTTCTTTAGTCTGAGAGTTTCAGGCAAAATTCAGGCTTTTAAGCACTGCCTCCATGTGTGTTTCGGAGAAACTGAGACGTTTATTTTCTAAACATGATGTCCCAGTGGCTTTCAAACCCCAAAACACATTACGGCAAAGGCTGGTTCACCCCAAAGATCCGGTGCCCCGGCACAAACAGAGCAATGTTGTATATGCTGTTAAGTGCCAGTAGGACTGCGACCAGTTATACATCGGGGAAACAAAGCAGCCACTGTTCAAAAGAATGTCCCAACACAGACGAGCTACATCTAATGGCCAGAACTCTGCAGTTTTCACTCATTTACAGGCCAGCGGTCACTCTTTCAGAGATGAGGATGTTCTCATTCTTGATAGAGAGGAACGTTGGTTTTGAGAGAGGAGTAAAAGAAGCCATTTTTGAGAAGAAAGACCGTCCATCATTAAACAGAGGCGGAGGCCTCCGTTTTCAGTTGTCCCCCTCCTACAGTGCTGCTATTGCCAGTATCACTCCACCCCCTGTTAACAATAGGTGTTAATTAGGTGTCAACGATAGCCATGTGATGTGAGTATCAGTCACATGGAGGCAGKGCTTAAAAGCCTGAATTTTGCCTGAAACTCTCAGACTGAAGAAGTCTCTTGGAGGAGAGACGAAACGTTTCATTAGAGAAGAACCCGTCCAGAAGGCCTATACAATTTTTTCTTTTTGTTTTTTGTTTTTTTTAGATGTACAGAACATCTAATGATACACAAACACACACATGGGTAAAACATGATCACACAGCTTTACCTTTAAAATGAGGGTGATAAAATAATAATAATAATAATAATAATAATAATAATAATAATAATAATAATAATAACAATAATAATAATAAAGCACAAAAAGCTAAGAAAAGGTTATTCAGAACACTTTGAATTTACAAGTTTAGCAACGTTTCTTCTTTTTCTTCAACTCCAGTCTCTTTCCTTTGATCCAACTACTTAAAAGGATGTAATGGGAATGGGTCCATCTATAGCTCAGTCAGCGTGGAAAGCAGCAGCTGGACAGCAGATTATATGCACAAGTAATTGGCCATTAAAAGCCAAAAGTAGCTTCCAAAGTCAATCACTGGAAACTAATTTGATTCTCCCTGTGAATCAAACACCTTCCACTTTAAGCCGTTTTCTTTCCCCTGAACTCTTTTCCCTTCATGATGAATATTGACTGCTTACAGAAGCCAGTCTAGCGGAGCTCGTCGTCTGCCCCCTTAATGCCAGACTACGGACCTCCGACGACAACTCGTCTAGACCCGGCGCGGTGAAACGCACTTACCCACACAGTCTGTGGTCTGCCACTCCAGACACTGGCCGTAGGGGAAGGAGATGACATACGCAGTGGAGTCCACGCAGCGCTGCGTGCTTCCACACCACATGCACTCCATGGCTTGGCTCGTACAGTTAGCGCAGTTCGTGTGCAGTGAGCAGGGCTTCTTGCAAGATGAACGGGAACTCTGATTGGGATTCCCTGCAAATAAATAGAAAGCGGCGGAACCTTAAATAAAATAATATTTGAAAGCATTTTTAGCTCGAGGTAAATAGCTCGTGTTTCTGACCTGTAGCTTTCTCACAGATGAGCCCATGAGCGGTAGCGGTGCACGCGTTGGCCTTCAGGCCCGACGCCTGAGGMTCCTCCAAGTAGGCGCAGAATCCAGAGTCGCTGGGCTCCCCGGGCAGCCAGTGCAGGCTGCTGTTTGTAAAAGGAGTCATGTCCTCCCAACCCCAGTATGACACATTGATCTTCCTCAAGCCCACCCAGGGGGACAGCCGCTGTGGAAATACAACAAAAAAATAATAACAATAATAAAGAACTGGAGATTTAAACTTACAATAAAATAGCATAAATGTGCTTCTTCTTCTGTTCTGTCACGCTACTTAGAAAAAAATTAATGACTCCTGCATTTACACCTGGGAACAAAGGAAACCATTAAGAGTCTACTAAACATAATTTCACAGATATGATTACTTATTTGCCTTCAGGATTCGCGTTTTAAAGTAATGGGAAAAATAATGTGGAAAGGCACGTCAAGGTTCTGTTTGGAACAAATAACAAAATTTGAATAAACTAAGCAGACTGACAGCAAATTATGCTCTCGACTACAGCAAGCATGACCAAACATATCATCACTGGATTCCAACTATTTTTCTCTTGCTGCAAGAAGAATATGGAGCAGCAAGGTCAGAGAGGAGGTAATCATTTGCCCAAAAGCACATCTCAACTTTACTGTTAAAAAAAAGAAGGYTAAATTTTGGCACGGCTGCGATGAACAAAGCTTTTAAGGAAAGAAGAAAACTGGAGTAAAGCGACTCAAAGCACAAACTTCCGACTTCTTAAGTTAARCCTGGCAACATCTGAAGTCAGCTTYGACATGTCTACGAGTGAATCTGATCAGCGTGAGTTACTGAGACAACAAAGGTCGACTCTGGTTGGTAAACCTGCTGTTCGTCGCCTGCCTACTGAGTGACGCAACAGTGGCTCCAGCCTTTGAATCACAAATTAGGTCTACAACTCCGACACAGACACCAAACAGCAGTGTTAAAAGTAAAAAAAAGCCTTCAGTCTTGTAAAACCAAAAAGGCGTGTCAGATCAGAGAAACGAGTGTGCTCGTCATTCTCTTTGAACTGCACGGGGTGGTGGATCAGAGCTTAGTTCTACTGTAATGTCTTGAAACACAGCAGTCTGTGTTAGAACAACAAAAAAAAAACTTAACTGGAAGTTGTGAGAGGCATGGTCTAAACTTTTGGACTGAATCTTGTTTATAACAGAAAGATGTTGTCTTTGGATCATGGAAATGTTCTGATCAAAGCAGAAACAAGCAAATAAGATCCAACAGTCCACATCTTCAATAATGAAGGTGCTTATAACTGTCTGTAGCTGTGGTTCACTGTGTGTAAGGACAGGAATTAAAAGCTCTGCATTTATAGAAGGAAGAGGAAAGACTTTTCATTAACACATTCTTATGTTGGGAAATGATTCAGAAACATTAAAAAGAACATTAATCTCATGCAATATCACGAGTTGTCACACTGAGTGTTGTAGATGGCACATCAACTTTTAGCCTAATATCTGTCAAACTGACAGCTACAGCCATTTCTGGATTTTTAGCAAACCTAAAGGAGGGTATTATGCAAAATCAACTTTTTTAAACTTCATTTCATGTTATGATGTCATTCCCTCATCAAAAGCATGCCCAGAGTGTTGCTTTGACTCGTTCATGCATGTTTGAGCAATCCTTGAATCTCCTGTTGTAGGCACATGGAGCTCGCTGGTACAAAGCACCGCCCATTTACTCAAAACACCTCCCTGGATCTCGGTCCACTGCTGAGTTCCCCCACTCCCCTACGCATCCCCCACGCTGCTCCAGCAGACTAGCAAAACATTAAAATGGTGGATGTTCATGATTTCTTCCCAAAACGTAGCTTAACACTGACGTATGGGAGGATAACTGGGATATATGTGACCCATCACATCGAAACGAGGATTAAGTCTAAAAGTGGTACTGTATAAGGAAAAATAGACAAATACAGTGTTTTGATTAAGACATTTACAAAAATTGCATTTTGTCAAAACATAATGAATACATGTCTTATCAATGCATCATTTGAATGAAATGTCTGAAATATAATCATAAAACAAAATTTTAAAGCACTTTTTTGAGCAGTAGCAATAAAAAAACTGATTTTGAGGAAAAATTCCTTAAAATTTTGAGACTTTCTATGTGAGCTAGCAATGTTTTAATTTCTTTTCGGCTGGGAAATTTCAATATTCAAATATAATTTGAGGTTTCCTCTTTATGGACATCAAAAATTCTTCATTAAAATTACATAAAATTAGGATTCAGACCAAATATTTATGTATTATTGTAACCAACAAGACAGCCCGTCGAGGCAGATGGCCGCCTGTCCTGAGCCTGGTTCTGCTGGAGGTTTCTTCCTGATTAGCAGGGAGTTTTTCCTTTGCTCAGGATGGGAGACTGCGATGAAGTGATTCAACGCAGCCTGCTGGCTTCTTCTTTAGATTGTGCTTTTTTATGTACAGTGCCCTGAGACTACATATGTTGTGACTTGGCGCTATATAAATAAACTGAATTGAACTGAAACTGAATTGAAATTAAGTCATATATATGGATTTACTTATGATATCTGAATGATCCAGGTATCAAAATGTAGCTTTTAAAGCCAAGAATCTGAAAATGTAATGAGGTTATTTTGACCAAATTTGACTTAATTCTCATTTTGATATGAYGGGTCACATATATTACCAAGCTGAAACGTCTTCCTCTGTACTCGCACCAGTTCTTCAGTAAAAGTACTTTCCGGTCTGATGTGGGATCATTCGAGTAAGGTTCAACCGTATCCTGAGTTGCCATTTTCCAAATATATGGTATATACAGTATATGGTATAGAATTTCCTTGATAATAAATATTACCCCCCTTAAGAAAAACAAACATAACTGCAGTAGCTGAAATAAGCACAGAACTGCTCATCTTCATCGCTTGGGTGCAGAAACCAGTGTGGAGTCCGCGCTGCACAGAACATCAGTGTTTCCAGTTTGCTCATATTTACCTTTTCTTGTTTCTGGAGCTTCTTGAGCTCTTCAAGCACAAAGTGCACTTGTTTGAAGGTGGTGAGTGAGGCGATGTTTCCGTTCAGGTTCTTGCAGTAGTGTTGTGCGTTGTCGTAGCTCTCGCGACTGGAGTTGATCCTTAGGCAGGCATCGCCCACCTGGCTCCAACCCTCGCTGCACTGCTGGGCTGGAAGGGACAAACAGGATCTACATTAACACGCCATCCATAATGTAGTGATAATCAAACTTTGGTGTAACATTGTTGGCATTTTAAAAAAGAACGAAAAGAGATACCGGTCTACGAAATGTTTTGCACTCTGGTAAAAAGGGAACATTTCAAGCATTACAAGTCACGAAAAACTGAAGATTTAAGGCTTAGTGTGTTTAAATGTCAACAATTTTGCTTTCTAATTTGCATTTATTGGTTTTAGATGTATGCTTTTTGTGTGTCCCTTTCAGGCATGACAAATTCACACACACACACACAAGTATAAACAGAGATATTATTTGCAGCTCCCACCGCGCTGCCCTCAGGCGACAACTCGTCACGAGCTGAAAATTATGGATAAAAGTGACAGCGCTATTTCTCTGTATTCTGCTGGCGTCCACATCAGCAACAGGCTGGGTGGGAGGTAGATGCTGAGAGCTAAACTAAATGCACTGGCAGACCTGATAAACAACATCAAGATGACAGCTTGAAAACACTTTTTTTTATATACTTACTGCTGTCTTTTAGCTATAGTATCATCTAGTGTAATTATGTGAGCCAAACCGTGATGAGAAAATTTATGTAATCTTTGTCTAATATTCCCTTGACAAAAAAAATCTGGGGGATTTTTAGCAGAAGACAAAGCACGAAACTTTAATTTTCCACAAATCAAACTTAAAAATAAAACATTTCTAGATGTCGGGCAAGAGAACAAAAATGAAGAATTTTTAACAAGAAGTCCGTGTGYGCTTTAATGGACTTCACGACGCAGGGTTCAGCTTACCTGGCAACGCGAGGCACTGCGAGTGATTCTGGTCCCAGTGACAGTTGAGATTCAGGGAGCAGCTTTTGCAGTTGTTAAGTTTGCTGCACACCTGCTCGTTCCGCACCGGACACTTTGTAAAGTTCTTCACGTTCTGCAACATGGAAGGGAAGGAAAGAGAGGAGGTATGTAAAAAAAAAAGAAAGAAAGAAGCAGATTTCAATTTGGAGATAAAAAAGAGAAAATCTGCCTCAGCTTTGAAAATGATCCCAGCTTGAATAACAAGATCTACATAAAATGTTATGAGGATTTTTTTTCTCCTTAACAAGACTATAACCAAGTAAATATTAATAATAACAAAGCCTTTTCTGCACAGATCATGAAATCTTTGAGGAAAAATGAGGATATCTTGGAAACTAAAGGGGCTCTGCTGCCCCCTGTTGGTAAACTCACAGAGGTGCAGTTGCTGGAAGCAGAGATGCAYTTCTTGTCATCACACCACTGGCAGCCTTTAGTGTTTGCTGTGCAGCTGCCACAGTCTGAGAACTTGTAGCACCACTCATCCACCGTTGCTAAAAAGACACACAGACAAAAAAATCAAACAGTAGGTAAGTTGGTGCAGTATTTTTACATTAAAAAGTGAAGGAGGAATTTAAAAAAAATAAAACTAAAACCTCCAACAAAAAAAAATCAGAGTCTTACCAGCTTTAGAGGGGCAGAATGGGGCAGGAGAGAGGCTTCCATTAGCCATGCTGGGTTTCCAGGGGAGACAGCGGCCCCTGCTCCACATGCAGCGAACCCCAGGTCCAGCTTTCACACAGCCCTCCTCTGTGGAAAAGGCCCGGCAGCTCGGGGGTCGGTAAACAAGCAYGTCATTGAGCAGCACGCTCGAAAAGCCTCCGAATACATACATGGACCTGACGAGAAGAAATAAACAAAAAGGGTAACATGTGAAATAAAAGGAAGRCCTAAAAGGGGATTATTTGCATGTGACCATTTAAGCCAAAACTGCAAAACAGTTTTAAGTTTAAACTCTCACAAGACTATCTGTCTGGTGTGGGTTACTCTGAGACACCAGGAAATAGACTCACCCATTGCTGACGACAGCTGAGTGACCAAAGCGATTGACGTCTCTGTGCAGGTCTGGTTTGGGGAGGAGCCTCCATTCATCACAAGCTGAGAAATAATAAACAAATACTGTTTCTTTCTATTTTCTTTAATGAAACACACAGCACCTACAACCTGATTTAAAATTTTACTGTTGAAAAAAACATCTTCAAAAAGCTTTAACACTCAACGATTTAAAAAATTTTAAAAATTAAAAAAGGAATATTCAAAATGTAAAATAAGCAAAAGACTAAAGCTATTATTATAGTTTAATAAAGCTGATGTTTACTGTAGAAAAAAAAAAGATTTCCAGATATGGCTGTTCGTTATGCTGAATAAAATGAACTAAAATAAAAAAAAGGAAAACAACAACGAGTCCTACCGATGTCATAGGCCAGGAAGTCAGCAGAGAAGCACTTGGCCCCGTTGCTGAGGGACGTGTCGTTATGCGTGTTGCCCCCAAAGACGAGCAGAGTGCCGCTGAGGAGCACCGCTGAGTGCAAGTATCTGGGAAAGCTGCTTTCCCTCAGAATGAACCTGGGAGGTTTGCACAGGTTTGTCAGGGTTCAGCACGGAACAAACTGTGAAGTGTAACAAAACGTGAGCGCGACACAACGATTTACCACGTCCGCATGTTGACGTCGTATCTGTACAGGTCGTCGACGAGGCCGTATTTATTGGCTGGCAGCGCCTTGTAGCCGCCGTGGACGTAGATGCTGCCGCTGGCGCCGTCATACGTGCTGGTGTGGCCATACCCTCCCTGAGGAACAGCCCCTTTTGTCTCCGGCACCAACCATTTGTTGGATTCTAACAAGAAAAGAAATGCATGGATCAGTTTAGCAAATAAATAAGATACAACTTTATGACTTCAAAAATATATGAATAAATGCTGTGATGTTTTTACAGCCCTATATGGTTTAAATGAAATATATATTCTGATCATACGAATAATGATTAGACATCTGCAGTAAACAAGCCGACACCCACTCAGGTTGTACTCCTGAACGTTGCTGATGTAGCTGTAGATGGGAGAGTAGCCAAAGATGACGAGCATGATGGAGTCGCCGCTGTTCAGCTGGACGCAGTGGGCCGTGTGTCCTTCCACCGCGTAAAGCTGAGCCTGAGCCGACGAGTCCACATCGGGGTGTCCCCGCTGCCACGTTCGACTGGATACGTTGAACGCCCACAGCTCGTCCGTCACGTTGCCCCCGCTGGCTTCCAGTTTCCCACCGAACATGTAGATCGTGTCCTGGCGAGAGGTGAAGACAGTTGCTCGCATTCATTTCACTTTCTCCTGGGAGCAGCTTCCATTAGATACAAACGGAGTAAAGCTTTCATCTGTGAAAATGTTTAGTGTACTCCTGCTCCTGCTGCAACTCAACTTCAGAGAAAACTAAGTTTTTAAAGTGGCTGACATCACTGCTAAGTACTGTTCAGTTCATTGGTGCTAATATTAGCTTCAGATCTATTCGTTTGAACTCATAACGTCACCCAGCACCTGCTGGTGCAGCATTTCTTTTAGTTTGTTTTTTTAAAGCAAATCACCAGTAACTCAGGTTCCAACAAGCAGTGAGAATATGTTTAAATGACCTCTAAACTGTCCAGAAACACTGAGGCTAAAAATAAGGCAAACGTTGGTCTAGAACTGAAAGTTTTGCTGATGTTTAAATTGAGTCATATACTTCAGACAGATGCCTGCATTTAGCCAAGATTGTCAAAAATAAAACAAGTTCAGTCTATGGAACTTTCTGGCTTTCTTCTTCTATGCGACTCAGCTAAACAATCAAGATTAAAAACTGGTACTTCCCACAATACAAGACTGTCGTTTTCCAAATTTAGCTGAAGATATTTCAAGACTAAATAAGGACTATGACTAGACCAAAGCTGAAACCATGTCTACTGCTCACTGGGGAGTCAAGGGCATTAATGTCCCTCTCCTCCAGCAAAATAGTTTATTTTGAAAAGTGTGGTGAGCTCAACTTTAGTGCTAGAATCTGTGCACCCCCCCTCCATGTTAGCGTTGGGCAAAATTGGCCAAAAAAATAAAATAATCACGATGGGGACCTATTATGCAAAATTCACTTTTTAAAGGTTTTTTWACTCAACTTTGGGTATGTACTTCTTAAAAAAACAGTCCTAGGACCAAAAAAATGCACCCGGGGCATATTTACTGTAAGTAAATGTATTTTTAATGTGTATTAACGACAAGTTTTATACTTCCTACATTTTGTGATGTCACAAGCCGTACGACAACCCATCGCAATCTGCATTCAGCCCCTCGCCTAGCAACCCCCCAGGTGAGGCTCCACCTCCTCACAATTATTTATTTTCGTTTGTTATGAACACATTTTCTCATGTACCTCTATTGTTTTTAGCTTTAGCCTATTTGTTCGAGTTTCTGAGGTATTTTGACCGCTGCTGCTCCCATTACCTGCCCTGGTAACAGCATGCAGAGTGAGCGCAGAGCAGAGGAGGGGGAGGAAAAAAAAAGAAGCTGCGACCACGACTCTGCCTCTGGGTCTCATATGGTTGTACAACRGAGCTTCTGCTATTATTAGCCATGCTAACGTAAACGCTGGCTTTGGAGGGCGGAGTTAATGTCAACAGATTTTAGGAGGGCGTTACCAACAGAGCTCATTAACATAAACAGCTCGKTCTGAACAGAAGTCAGAGCAGGCAGAACTAGAAAATAGGAAATTTTTATCTGACAATTATTTTGTGCATTAAATTGAATGAACATGGTCTGGATAGCCCACAGACATACCATAAAAATTTCTAGGACCCAAAATTGGTCTCCTTTAATATGACGTTTGCATTATTTTTACTCAAAATCAGCTACCCTTGTGTTGTAAAAATTTACTCACAAATCACCAGTCAAACAAACATCTTCATTTTAACAAGTTAAATAAGTAAGCTGTGAATTATAACACACCTCACAGTTTTTCTGACAATTAATCCCACACGATACGATTTTATCCAACCCTATCTACTCAACACTGATCCACTGAACCAATGAAAATGAATATCAAGAACCCCCCAGCTGCAGGATTAGCAGCAGCAGAATGTTTGTACACGTTTCATTAGACAGGTTTTCAACCGTGAGTCTTTGGGTGAATCAAATCTAATTCACCATAAGTCTCAACCGTGTGGATATAATCACTATTTAAGCAAAAAAAAGTGAAACGGGCAACAGTGCCAAATCATAAAACGGCAGCTGAATTTAATGCTTGTAAGGCCTGTTCTCTCAGCTATTAGCCATTTTTTTTTTGTTTTTGTTTTTTTGCTGTGCTTGAGGGGCTGTGCGTGTAATATTTAAAGAAAATCAAATAATTAACGAATTTGAAGAGTGTTTTTGTTCAAAATGCCCTTCAAGCAAAAGTGTTTTCTGAGCTGGGCTACAACTGACTGCTAAATATATTTTCGTATTTTGTGGGCCAAATGAATGAACTCGTCAGAGGGATATCCCCCCAAGGGCCACCAGTTGAGGATAAAACTTTAATGTGTGATGTGTCAGGCGTTTCCTTTCTTTTTTTCTTTTTTTTCTTTGTTTTTTTTTTTTGCTAGTAAATGTCGAGGCTTTGCAAAGAAAAAAAAAATCCCCTAATCCGTTGTTCCATTTACTGTTATACAGTTATGATTAATGTTCAAAGTGAAAATGACTAATTTCCTCTCCAAATTGTTTAAAGCTTCCTGTTTTCTAAAAAAAAATAATAACATTATTGCTTTTTTTTTTTCATGGCAGCACATTCTTCCTCTCAGCCAGCAGCAGCTTTTCTTTCTTTCTTTTTTCAACTCTGCACACAGATGGTTTTGGATGTATCTGTGTGTGTCTATGTGTACCTGGTAGGCAGCAAGTGAGTGGCCGTATCTTGGCACAGGGCCGCCGCTGCTGGGAACCGTGTTCCAAACACCGCTCTCCAGGTTGTAGCTGCAGAGCAAAGAAAGGGACAAAAAAAGAACATCACAGTTTAACCAAACATTCCCTATATACACCATGAAATGACACACAGTAAAGGACAAATTCAGTTTGTCTCTCTGTGACTGGATATTTACGACACGGTCGGCTGATTTAATCAAGGCAAACAAAGGACAGCAGCACCTGTCACGCTGAAGGCAACACTTGAGTTTTCCAGCTTCATGTAGCGCTTTTGTTAAGCGCCAAGCTTTGCACAGTGATGAGCACACATAATTTCCGGTTTGTGGTCAGTCACAAAAAAAAAGGACCACCTGGTCACATCAACACTTAGTTATTTMTGCAAGATGCAGTAAAACCTGGTGATAAACAAACACTGTGTAGCTTGTCTAAGAGGGAAAAAAATGAAAATCAGCAGGTTAGAAAGTTTTCTTTTTCTTTCTTGTTTTTGTTGGAATTTATATAACATGACCACAAAGCATAGTTTACAACAAAAAATGTAAAAATACAAATTTTCCTAATGATGTGTTTTGCCTTTTTACTTTACAAACCACCACAACCCAAAGATAGAACCATTCTTTCATAAGATTTGTTTTATATAACAGCAAACAAACAAAAGCAGGCCGACAACAAGGTCAACACCGGCACTATTTTGTTGACGTTCCCCCCATTGATATGTCTACAAAAAAGGATAGTGCACAAAAAATAACTCTGATCATAAAGATATTCATCTGTAATGGGGAATAACCGTGTCAAGGGCTCGACACACAGGCAGCGACAAACTACAGCGATTTACGGCTGTCATCGCAGCCAGGGTGAAACCCRACACACGGGACACGATAGCGATCGCAGCGTTGGGAATCACGCTCTCAGGTCACTTGTCTTCACAAATTTTGATTGGTTCTTGACTCTGAAGGCGGGTGTGCATTACGGACGTGTAAACTAAACAAATCTTGCGATGCTAATGATATTGAAAAACAAACACACATCAAGATACAGTTTTATGAGGAAAAACTTACTTCACTCTGGCGCCAATAAATTCCCACAAAGCTTTTTAGTA